AGGGATGTATTCATGTCGAGGAAACCTGACAACCATATAGTCCACTCACTGGATTCCTTTCCAGGAAATAGAAAACATAGGTCGATGCATTGGAATATGACAGTCAATTGATAATTGTACCTGTTGCTATAGGGTCTCCCCAAACTGCCTTTCACTGGGAGTGCTCACGTCAAACGACAAGTCTTCAAAACACCCAGCTTAATTTACCTCTGTGAAGCTAATCATGCTTATCCCCAAGCCACAGACCAGATTGATTTCTGTGCAGTTCGCTATGATGTGTGTAGACCCTGTGATGTCAAATTAGAACTGTGCTCCAAAGGGCTGATTTTCCCCCCTGAAATAGCTTGTCCGGTCTTACTTCTGGGATACCTTTGGCTTCTGTTTTGGATTGCATTGTGTTACTAACTCCTATACTTGGGATGTAATCCCATGTGGAAATAGGTTTTCCTTTTTTCTGTTGCTGACGTTACGTTAGCACACAGTCCTCTTAAACCAATCTTGCTTGATATACCAAAGGGCAGGCTGGACTCAGCAAAACCCATGTAGACGTGGGGACAATAAATGCCATGTGGGTATTTCCCAGCAACACTGAGAACACGGAGACAGAGATTTTGTTCACAGTGAGCAGAGGCTTCCCGAGGGCTGGGGCCCTAGAAGTGGACTAGGCTCTGTAAACTGTGAGAAAATGAATGGACTCTCTGACCATTAAAGTCAGCCTGTTGGGCATTTCTTTGATGCTGGTGTTAGGTCATTAGGACAGATGGACTCCAACAACCTTCTTGCTAGCCGCCTCGCACGGAACCACCTAAAGACTCCATGTTTATCACAGGGAAGCGAAATTGCCCAAGTTTATTGTAGCCTTCAGTTACCAAAAGGTATACCTAGAGATGGAGAGAGGGCAGGGGAAGCTCACTCCAATGCTGGAGAAGCAGAAAGCAGATACAGCCTGTGCAGAGACTGCCTGGCTGGTTGTTTTGGACAAATCAGAGCAAGGGCATGGTAGCAAAGTCCACGGTGTGCTCTTCTGGGCTTGCTGTGATTGGTGTAAGCTTATGTGACGCAGACTGGCTTTTTCAGTGAAGGCGGACGGAAGGGCCTCATGGGGGTGTGAAAGGCTTATTGAACAGAACACAGAAACAAGTTGGCTGGACCAGGACCTGAAGCTTCCAGGGGTTGTGATACATATTCCTTTTAAAGCAAGTAGAGGCTTACTTTGTCTTGGCTAGCATTTTATTCCCTACTTTGCACTCCATTTAAGTTACAATGAAAATCTCTCATTTAGCGCCTGATCATGCACGGATATGAGTTACACTGATATGTTATTCATGTCTTCCCAAGAGAGGTATGCTAGAATCCACTGATTGATTGACAATAGAATTCTGAACACCCTAGGATAGCTTTCAAAACACTACTACTTGGATGAATGTTTCAATTCTTAAATCGAGCAACCTAGTCATATGGTTACTTATTTCCTGTTTTTCTCCATGTAAAACACATGGAATACATCATTCCATTTCCTATCAAGAACACCAAGCGGACCTTTTTGAAAACAATGGGTTCTTCTTCCCAGACAGGATTGACTGCATTTCCTTGGGATGTCTTGGTCTTAAAGGCCTTCCTCCTTGTGTCAACAGGCAAACCAAACATATCCACTTCCACATAGATCCCGACTTTCTTATCCGAAAGAAACTGGCCGGAAATGATCTAGAAAATAAACACAAGCAGAATCTCCATACAAAGAGTCGCAAAGACATAAGACCATGATTTCCAGAAATAAAAATACTGATGAAAAATGTTGAGCCAGAGGCAAAATGACAAAGGGAGTATGAGCAGAAATATGGCTTGTGTCTCATTTAAGGACTCGATAGAGACACTGCTATTGAAAATGCTAAGGTCAGAAGTGGATTAATAAGACCAACTGGTATAGGAGATAAATGGGCTAAATATTGACTTTAAACAAGTCCAGTTTGTTATCACACCTAATGTCACCTGAGTAGCCATCCACACAATTGCAAATAATTTTTGTTGAATTCTAAAACCATAGACACGGTGCAGTTAAATAAGAAATGGGAAAAAAATTGCATACGTATAAAAAGTCTCCTATGTCTGTCTAATTGCCTAAGGGCTTAATCTGTGTGTCAGAAAGTCCAGAAGGTAGAGGCCGACCACAAAAAATACTGCTCCTGGGTATCAGAGATGGCAGCAGCCAGAGCAGACGGATCAAAAAACGAGGAGTTTGAAGTGAATGGTTGGAATAAAAGAGTGTGCTGGTCAACACCTTTCTGAGACCTAGTCCAAAAAGGGTATAGAAATGACCATGGCCAGAAATCAAGTTGGAGGTCAAGCCTTAGCACAAAATTAGCATGATCATGCAGCACCGAGGCTGACTGAGCTCAAAGTCAAGTACAGAAGTCGTCAGGCAAAGGCCATGGTGGAGTTGTGGTAGTCTGGTGCCACCCCCATGGTTCCGATTCATGGTGACCCAATGTACAGTAGAGCTACCCATCGCTGAGCAATGGACCTTCCTCACAACCGTTCTGATGTTTGAGCCCACCCATGCAGCCACTGTGCCAATCCATCCTGTCCGGGGTCTTCCTCTTCTGTGCTGATCCTCCACTTGACCAAGCATGCTGTCCTTTTCCTGATAACAGGCCCAAAGCATGTGAGATGAAGTCTTGCCATTCTTGCTGCATGGAGCATTCTGGTAGTACTTCTTCCAAGACAGATTTCTTTGTTCTTTTGTCAGTCGATGGTGCTTTCAATATTCCTTGCCAGCATTGTAATTCACATACTTCAATTCTTCTTTGGTTTTCCTTATTCAGTGCCCAACATTCACATGCATATGAGGCAATTGAAAGTATCAGGCACACCTTAGTCTTAAAAAAGAAACAGCCTCATCTCTCACCACTTTAAAGAGGTTTGGTGCAACACATTTACCAAATACCACGTGTCTTTTCATCTTTGGACTGCTGCTTCCAAGAGCACTGATTGTGAATTCAGGCAACATGAGCTGCAAACCTCGACAACTGTCACCTTTGCTTCAGTGATCATGATGTTGATTATTGGTCCAGCTGTGAGGATTTTTGTTCGCTTTACACCGAGTTCTCCTCCATCACAAAAGCTGCACCTTCATGAGCCGGTGCTTCAGGACCTCTTACCCACGCCCAGCAAGTAGAGCTGCATCATCTGCATATTGAAAACTGTGAACAAGCCTTCCTCCAGTTCGGATGCCCCATTGGTCTACTTATAATCCAGCTTCTGACTATTTGCCCAGCACACAGATTGAATAAGTATGGCGAGAACTGTACAAGTGACCACAGTCTGGCAAACTGATAGACAGTGGTGACCAGGATGAAGAGGCCTTTTGAATTCACGGGGGGTGGGGGTGGGGCAGCTTGTTCCTTGGATTCTTTCAGCCCGAGTCATAGCATCTACTGGCTATTAACTCCTTGTTTAACCAGAGGTTCTACTTGGGTAGAAAGATTTAGCAGGCAAACTTCCAAGTCATGACAGTCAGACTGAGAATTCAGATGCACCCTGTGAGCTTAACATGTTTGATCTGCTTTGGAAGAAGTACAGCCAGTTGACACCTTAAAAGCATGGGTGTCGAGACCTCATCTCATATATTTTGGGCACATTATCAAGAAAAACCATTCTCTAGAAAAGGACATTATTCTTGGTAAAGTACAAGGTTGGTCAAAAAAGAGGAAAACTTCAATGAGATGTGTTGACCGAGCAGCTGCAACAATGGGCTCACACATGACATTGGGAGGATGGCATCGGAACGGGCAGGGTTTCCTTCTGTTGTACCTTGGGCTGTTACGGGCTGGAATGGGCTCAAGGGCACCTAACAACAACAACGATGACAACCACATGTTTGATCAAAGCAGACATTTCAAAAGGAAACTAGCAATGTTAAATCGCAACATTCTCATGAGTCAAATGGGGTGTTGGAACACCATTCGAGCTTACAGGTTCATTTTGGTACTAGATGAAGTCAATGCTGAAAGATCAGTACAAAGACACGACTAAAGATGCGCGCGCCCCATCTGGGTTCTAGTTGTGAATGGCAGGACTTTACCGTAACCTGTCCTGCCCATGCAGAGGTTACTAACAGAGGAAGAAGAGAGCCTCTATCTATTCTGGACAGAGGCAGCCATTGACACCTGTCTCCGAGGCTCAACTGTGCCTCCTGCCCAGTTTCACCTACTCTCCTGCATCGCTGACATTGTTATATAATCTTCCATGCTGCCAGTGTTTATAATTGCTTACATGGCCGCAGAAGAATGTTTTTAGAAAAATAATCAAAAAGCAAGCAATCTGCAAATAATCGTATTAGTTTAACGCAACTGACAACACTTGGAGGAAGACCTGAAAATAACATTTATTAGTGCAAGATGCTTGGGATATATTTCAATCAACCTTGATAGAAATAAAATATTCATTGCTGAAAATGGTCTCCTAAAATAAATATAACCTTGAAATTCTAGTTCTTTCACCTTCACTTAAAAAAATAATAATTGGAATAATTTCAAGGGATGGAATTGTGAGACTTTATTGAAACTTTATTTTTAATCTTTGGTATAAGCTTTAAGGGAAACATAAAACATACATTTTAATGTGCAAATGGGCTCAATGGCTAAAGTAGACAGAATCAGTGAAATAGTCACAGAATATCTTTAGAACATAGTTTTTATGTAGCATTTTAGAATAGAGTTTTTTGGGTTTTTTAGTGCCTTGCTTTAAGGGATTCCCTGGTGTTGGCGTGGTTACATGCTGGGCTGCTAATCACAGGCCTACCATTTGAAATCAGCAGCAGCTCTGCGTGAAAGAGAGGAGGTTTTTGACTCCCTTAAAAAGTTCGTCTTGGAAAAACACAGGAGCAATAGTGCCCTATCCTGTAGGGTTACTATGAGTCTCAATCGCTTGGATGGCAGTGAATAGTAAGAGTTGGTTTAAGATCGATCTTAAAATTGCATTTATGTCATTACAAACATTTCCAGTGCCATGACACAGAAAAGAGAGGCACCTGTACAAACAAATAGAATTCTAGCTGCAACAACCAAAAGCTTATAGAATCTCTGCATAAAGTGCTTTATAAAAATGGATTTCCACTCATAGATTAAAAATGTTTTCTGACAAGTGTCAGTTTTTAAAAAATCTTAGTTGGATCATCATTCTAAGAGACTGCAGAGAATAATTTGGAATGTTTTATTCCAGGGTTGGATTTATATGTAAGAAAGTAACTGTCATTATTAATATGTGTGCTTAAATCCTTAAATACACTAGTAGATTTTCAAAGACCATATTATAGGAACATGAGTGCGTTTACTGAATATTAAGTTAACATACTGAGAGAATCCCCATTCTCTAATTCTACTTAGTATAAATACTTTCATTGAACCCAAAGAAAAAAAAATATATAGAAGAGCTCTTTAATAAAAGCCATTGATTTTTCTGCCAAATTTATCTGGGATATTTATACCAACAGAAGATAAGAGCTATGGTAAATTTCACGATCTCTTTTTATGAATTTAAGGTCAAATTTTTATCATCTTTAGAGTGGGACGCAGCCCCTGCATCTCATACATATGGTTTCTAAATATTGACTAGATTAAAAAAAACTTATTCTAAAATATATGTTATCAGCTCTCTGTTTTTACGCATTCTACGTTTTATACAATTCAGTGACACTGGTTCTGTTCCTCATGTGCAGCCGTCATCACCATCCAGTTCCAACGGCAGCACTCCACTAACAGAAACTCCGTGCCCAATGAGGAGAGCCTGCCGCTCCGACCACCTCTCACAAACTCGTGCCCCTGTACCGGGCCTGTTTCATGTAAGTGGGGTTAGAGCATTTGTCCTTTAAAGTCTGACTCAGTTGACTTAGCATAATGGTTTCAAGGTTCATCCATGTTGTAGCATGTTGCAAGACTTCATTCTCTTCCTAGCAAAGTCTTCTTCCATTGTATGGAGATAACCAATAATCTACTACTGGAAATATAGGCTGTTTCCATCTTTCATCTCCTGGGAAAAGTACTGTCATAAATATTTCTATTCATGTTTCCGTTTGTGTTGATTCTTTTGGAGTATATACCAAGGATTGGGGTTGCTGGGTGATATGGTAGTGCTGGGTGATATGGTAGTGCTGGGTTTAAACTTTGTGAGACTATAATGTGGGTTTAATCATTAAAGAGAAAAATACATGAAGGAAGCAGAAAGCTTTTACCAAGCTTTGTAGTTCCACAAGGAAGACAGATGAGTTCACGACTTTCTTTGGAGACAATATTGTAATGAGGTGCACCTACCTTAACCGATAACGTGTTAGCCACTATTCCATCGACAATGCCTTCGGTGAATGGATCAAAGTGCTTGTCTGGTCTCCGCATAAACTCTGGCTTTAATCTGTAGCCACTCTTCCCATTGTATTCATACATGCCCATGTTGATTTGCATCGCCAAGTCTGAATACCAAAAACATAGACCGTTAGTGTAAACAGTATTTCTATTTCGAGCAAGCACATAAGAGCAATGAGTGATATTATTAATTCCATGTACTAAAATCCACTTTTTTTTATCTACTCTCCTTTACAAAAGTAACGTGATCTGTTGTAGAAATTTTGCAAGCACCAGTAAGAAAAAGCAGCTGTCTCAAATCCAGAGATAAACACTGCCAGCAGTTGGGCGCATATTGTATTTTCTCTCTACTTAAAATATCGTTTAAATATAGAGTATATCCATTTAATTAAATATGATCCTGCCCTAATTTTAACAGCTTGATGAGCGTCCTCTGAATAGATATATTTGAGTAAGCACATTTAGCCAGCTCTCGCTCCGAGTGCATTTTCCGTCTTCTAACTTTTCACTCTCACACACAAAGTTGTAGTGGATGTCCTTAAGAAATCTCAGTGTCTCATCAGTTATATTCAATAGAAGACACCTTTGCAGAAGGTATTATAAGTTTTAATAAAAGACCTTTCATATGTGTTTCCAGTCCTGTGTTTGAGGACCTTTCTCTACATCTTCTCTACAACAAATGCTGTCATTCACAGGTGTGTGTTGTGTGTGTGAGCCTGTGTGTGTGTGTACACACCTTATGGAACTATCCTCCTCTTTTTAAAATGTGAATTCCTTTGATTTCCATTTAGCACAACCTATTTCTAACTGCCTCTTTCCAAGTGGCCATGATGGCCGCTCAAAGCTTTCCTGGGATTCATTGACTATGTCAAGTGAACATTCACAATCATTGCCGTGCAGGTGCTAAAAAGTGCCTGTGAAGTTGTAAGGAATTTAGGGAACTGTCAGTTGCTCCCAACCAGCTGTGCAGTGGCCCATTCATAAATGGGCGGTAATGACGGCGTCATTTCAGAGTGCCATGCAGCTCACAGGAGATTACTGTCATTTCAACCCCCAAGCTGGACTGAGTACAAAACCCTATACTAAAAGCCCCTCTAGAAAACCATATGCTTTAGGAAATACTGCTCAAAGAAGAAAAAGATTTACTTCAGAAACAAATGGGTGATATAGAGCACGCCACCTAGTGGCAGTGAGTGACACCTCATCGTTCATCAAAGAGATGCAAACAGCAGTGGAAAAATATATTTCGCGTGGCACTTTATTACTTTTTAATGGTGATACTTGAGCAAGATTACAAATGAGAGAGGTCAGCATTAATTGATGGTGAGGATGAATCTGGTGCAATCTTTTTAGTGAACATTTGATATACATACACATAATTCTTCAAACGTTCGTTTTTGTTTTCTTTAATATAAGAATTTCTTTTATAATTATTTTATCCTTTAATATAAAGGATTACTATAAGGAACTTTTCCAGAAGAATACTAGGAGGCCCACTTGACATGTTACATTCAGGATTGTTTAGACTATTATTTACAGTAAGTAAAAAATCCTCCAGGTCCAGAGCAGAGCTAGGAAATAGGTTTTGAGTTGTTAAACATGCTTACTTTATAGCAATTAAAAAGAATGCTTTCATATAGAATTTAAGGATATCTTTTACATGTTTTTAAAAAACAAGGAGTTAAGGGGGAAAAATACACATATGCATTTCTGGCAATATATATAGCCAAATTTTTATAATAAATAATTAAATTACAATAAATTATTAAAAGTAATAAATTAAATATGTTAAAAAGCATGTGCTTGCAAAAGAATGTAAATATCAATAAAGATAATAAATTATTGAAGAAATTATCTAATTTGTCAAAGTCCACATGGATTTATTTATTTATTTATGGAACTGATATTTATTTCAATGAACTTTGCTTGCATTTTTCCAATCAAGTCTGGAATATTTCTCTTCTTCTGATCACTTGACGATGGTTTCCTGACCTGCGGTTGTACCATCGAACCTGAACTGGGCTACTTACCCACTGTTTGGAAGTTCAGTGCAACCATTTGGCAGCCTGCATTCCAGAACAGCTGAGGCATGTAGTTAGATGAATCCACACGTGTGCCTTTGGGGTATATTCTGCTCAGCTGCATCTTGTTATATCTGGACCATCATGTTAAGTAGTGAATACAGTTACCAAATTAGTCACTAGAGAATGTAAATGTCTAGAAAATAATGATGGCAACATCTGTACAAATAAATTGGTCTTTTGATTTAAAAAAGTCATTAGTATTAACTGAAAGGCCACTCTGCATCTTTCTGTATTAGGGAAATGAGATACATGTCAACAAACTCAAGGAGCGAGCGAGTGAAGTGAAATGCACACACACACACCCTTTGTGACCGACAGAATGAATGTAATTGTATGATACAAACATAGCCTCGTCTTTGCAGGCCTTATGGGTGAACACTTGGGAGGCAGCAGCCGCAAGTTGAGTCAGTCCTCTGGTTAAAGACACACAAGGAAGCTGGAACGTGTTAATTCATGAGGGAGGAAGATACTGTGTATGGCAGAAGAAGAGAATAGAACTATATACCTATAAAAACTCTTTTTGGTGACAACACACACAGCAAAATATGTTCAATCACCATTTTCCCCTGTAAATCTCAATGGGGACTGAAGACCTCACTCTGGGAATTCTATCAGTCTCTATTGACCAGTGAGTGTGGGCTTTTAAATTTTATTGATTTTGAGTTTTGTTCCACATTTTTCTCCCTTCCTATGCAGGACTTTCACAGTGGTAGCCAGGCACCATCTAGTTCTTCTGGTCTCGGGGAAGTAGAGACTGATATTCTCCTGGTCCATTTGTCTACTGACCCAACTGTTTCCACGTGCCCTTGATTTTCTTCATTCTTCTGCTTCTGGGCAGAGAGATCGTGTTCACCAGCTCTTAAACCCCCAGCAGGATGTAGAACATTGTCTTTGAAGACAACGACCAATTGCCAATTGACCTTGATGTCCCTTGCAAGTCAGCAGTTTTTACATAGACAGCCATGGACTAGGGTTATATCATCTTCTGTAAGCAGTCTCATGACTGTCTTTTGTCTCACCATTCATTTAAACTCTCTGCCCCTTACAAAGTTCTCATTTATTCTTTAGAGTTACTGTTGCCATCTTCAGTTTTATGCAGATCATTCTTTAAACGAGTGGAAGGTCAAGGCACATTTTCTTTATTGAGCTAAAGGATTGTTCAGAAGTGGGAGTTACCATGACTGAATGCTTGGATCAGGGACTCAATGGATGGCTCTTGATGCAAAGGAGGAGAATAGTGGAACAGCACTTCACATGCTTATTAGAAAGCAGACACGTTAGCTGCATGGGGCCTGGCAGGTCCTCTGAAGCCATTGCCTAGAGACAAGTTAGAATCTTCAAATACATTATATTTATCCATCTTATATACAACATCATTGTGGATCTTGCTTGCTGGCATATCTGTCTACATAAAAATTTTATTTGTGCTCTTTATTAGGTTTGTTTTACACAGTTACATAT